TATATTGCAGTAATATTAGAAAATTTTAATCAAGCACAAGAAGACGTACAACAAGTAAATAATAAATGAGGGAAAAAGAAAGAGAATTTTTCTTTTGATTTTATCTAGGGTTTAACCGATGATGATTATGATATGTATTACGAAAAATGGCAAAATTTTGATCCATCATGTTCACAATATATACAATATGATCAATTGTCAGATTTTGTTGATGGTCTTGAACCACCCTTGTGTGTTCCTAAACCAAATCATTTAATACTTATTGGCATGAATTTACCAATATGTGAAAATGATCGTATGCATTGTGTTGATATACTTGATGGTCTTACAAAATATTTTCTTGGCACACTTGATACACAAGTAGCAAGTAGTGAAACTGATGCACCAATTGATATAAAAAAAGATCGTCCTAAAGATTATCATCCTATAACAACAACAATACAACGGCAGCGTGAATTTCATTTAAGTCGTTTAGGTTTGAAACATTTTCGAAACAATGTTGAACGACGTCGAAATGAACGAAAACATCAAGAATTAACATTAGAAAAAAATTACAATTGATGAACATAAGAAAACAAATGATTTAAAGACAATAAAATTCGTATCGAACGATAATCTCAGCCGTGAAACAGATTTAACAATATCAATATGATTAAAATAAAAATGAATACAAACTATTTTCTGATACATTATCAATTTGTTGTTTCTTGCAACGAGATTGTCATACTAGTGGGACTATAAAAGGTGTGAGCGTGGGTGAGTCAAGTGGAAATTATCACCCACGCCTATATTAATTCCTCGTGCTGATTAGCAGGTGAAAAATCAGTTCAAGATATGCTATAGTTTGTCGAGTACCAATGGTAATTTTTATCAAGAATATTTCATAAGTAGAAATATTATTGTTGAACTATGGTCATTTATACCATGCATGGCTATTGATATGGTTACTCTCATTTTTGACTGTTGAAATTCTCTATCTCTTCTTATTTGAATATTTCAACAACGGGAAAAATTGTCTAAGTTTTTATATAATACTTGAATCTAAATAGAAACGAAATTTCAGCTAAATTCTTGATATAAAATGACGGCATGATCATTGTTCTTTTATATAATCTCTATCTCTAGTTTAATGAGACGCAAAAAAGAGGGTGTGTGAGTGTCGGTGTGTGAGGTGTGGGTGGATGTGAACAAAAGTATCAATTAAAAGAAGATCCACACCGCACCCACGCACCCACATCGAGACCCCACCCACCCACACCCAAAATACCTCGTTTGATTTTGGGTGTTTTTGTTTCAAATATTGTTGATTGCAACCAATCAAACAGGGAAACTACATGACTATTGTAGCTTTCTTCACGTCATCGTCATCCAGCTGCTTGTCGCTTCCAAAATACTTTATCTATTCTGTGAGAAAAAAGTTTGTTTACCAAAAGAACAGCAATAAGAACGTTATTCAATAATTATGCTTAAATTCTTTTTCGTTTTTCTCCTTTGAATGAAGGATGGTAAAAGCACTCATTTTTCTTTCTTTCTTGGTGCTTCATAAAAAGAGGGACCCTGTTCGTTCTTGTTTCGTCAATAACATTCTTGAAAAGAACTAATCGACTTGAAGCACTTCAAGTATATGACAACCAATCACAAAAATAGTGCTAATAAAAAGAAAAAAAGACAGTATATTTAGGTAGACAAAGATTGCGTTCGTTGCTGTATTTATTTATACTGCATTCATCATGGGCAAACAAAATTCAAGAACAAGCGCGTGTAGAGACGTTGCACTACTCCGACCTGCTCTTCGGTTTTTACAAAATTTTCTTCTGATTTGGCTGGACGTCGATTTTGACACATCAAAAGATGATTGGGAAAAATCAATGCAACATTTGCAGCATATTGTAAGGTCAATCATAAAATTTACAGATGTTGACCAATGTATTGATTTTCTTAGTGAAATTAAAGATGAAAAGGTATTTATGATTATGTCTGACTCATTAGGACAGCATGTAATACCAGTAATTCACGAATGGCCACAAATAGATTCAGTCTATATCTTCTGTGGCAATCAATCTGTTCATAAACTATGGATCGACGCAACTTCAAAGGTAAACGAGGTTTACACCGATATCACATCCATTTGCGAAGCATTAGAGAACAATCGTCAACGAAGTGATCGAGATTCAATTTCGATCAGTTTTCATGGCATTGATCCATTGTTTATGTACACTCAACTGTTCAAAGAAATACTTTTGGAAATCGAGGATGATGATAACAAAGTCATCAAAGAACTTGCCGAGTACTGTCGTCTTCACAATGCTGGTGCTGAAAGCACGATTCAAAAGATCGANTCTCACATAAGACTGCACATAATCTTACAGTAAAAGCTTACCGAACAACAAGATCTTTGATGGATCTTATAGTACGACTTAGTATAAGATTGCATGAACCACGATTTTTTGTACGATTTTCGCCTGATCTTACAAGATCATATAAGATCAGACGTAGGATCTTATAAGATCTTACTGTCTAATTTGTCGACCTGGGAGGCTGGAAACGTCTTATTTTCCTGGTAAGTTCCATTTTTTCTATATTGCTTTCATTCTACAACACCCAAGATCATGACTATGTAGGACATGGGTCGCCGTAACTGGTAATCGCAACGAATTCTATCAAAGTATGAACTAAAAAACATTCTTACTTTATATATGTGCATGATAACTATGTGCTTAATAGATTGTGCATCTATCAAGATTCAAGGTTCTGGAACGAGCACGCTTGACGACTTCCCGGATATGTTCGTTGGCGACATGACTCTTACAGGACATATCGGATCACGTGAATGTCGAAGCAGCGCAGGGTTTGCTCTCGAATACCCCAATCCAGGCAAAGCTACAACTATCGCTAAAGTCGATACGATCTCATTTAAGAAACCTACGATCGGTAGCTGTTTTACAAAAGCTTCCCGAAAGAGTTCCACTACAGTGGTTCCATCGACTTCACCAACAACTACTCGAAGCAGTAGTGGTGCTACTCAAAGTGAGAACTTGTTTTTGCTAGCGTCATAATTCATTTTCGAAGAACCCACACGAGAGGCTTGTGCAAATTACATTTATAGAAATATGGACAGTGAGTTCTCCTTCCGAAGTATATAAAATAAAAATCCACATTATATTATTTCACTCACTACTATTAAATTTACAGAAATGATCAATGTTTGTAGAAATCTAGACAAGAAAAAATTATTTGTACACATTCGGAGATTGCCTATATAATTTTTCGTCTTGGAAACTGAATAGGAGCATACAAAAGCAAACTTTCCTAAGGCTCGTCGTTGCATTTCAGTAATGAGACTTTTTGCATTTCATGAGTTATTCGTTTTCATTAATTTTACAAAATATATAGCTGGAACAATCATTGAATCAACAACAGTGACAGCTCAGAAAACCACATTAATAGCAGCCACATTGCTGAGCTCTACTACAAAGGTTGGATCGACAATGCAGACTGCATCTGTTGCGGCGAACTCTAATCCTCCTCAATGTTCCAATTATGTCCTGATCACTGACAAGACGCGCCATGCTACTCATCCACACTACATTGGGTGCGACAAAGCTATCTTCAAATCAGAGCCGATGTGGGTACGTTTCTCGGGCGCTGCAGGTACTCGCCTGGCACCTGGTCCAATGGAACCATTTCATTGCGGAACACAGGGAACTGGTTGGTACAAGGGGGTGTATCCGGTATCAATGGGGGCCACAACCTCAGGCACTGTGTGTTACAGCTGGTCAGGAAACATGTGCATGTGGTCAAACCAGATTTCGATCACAAACTGCAAGGACTACTATGTATTTTCACTTCGTGCACCTCCTGCATGCTTTTTGCGATATTGTACTGTCTGAACACAAGACAATATGCTTACTTGCTTCTAACATTTTCTAATCTAAACGATCGAAAATAAATTGATTTGTCAATCTGATCAGTGCACTCATTCGTTCTCTACTTCATGCAATTTTCAGTTGCAAACGAGCATCTCTCAAGCTGTGAGTAGATTGAAACTTGAAATTTGCAAGTTGCAGAGTAATTTTTCAATTTAATTCAAATTTCAAGTTTGATACAACTACAGTCATGATGTAGTAGTCATTTTTAGTGATTGTTACTATTTATTTTCGTACATCGTTTGTCTTCTAGTGTCTATTTCTGAATAGAAAGCTTTGCAGGACTACAAACTCTGTATCGCCTTTGCGCATTCAATTAGCAATTCGTAAGACACAGACGTTATTTATTACTCATATATGTAGTGTGGCTCTCACATTGTGTATGCTTTGTTACGTAGTATGTATGTACGGAATTCTTTGGATAATATGATTTGATTTCCTCAAAGAAATGATCATCAACATCAGTAAAAACGATTTGATTTGGGGAAAAAAGAACCATTTTTATGCTGAATTTTATGAAAAACATACATACCAGTTAGTGAAGGATCTTCTACTGGACAGGATCTTTGTTATGATCAAACAATAACTAAGGAAATCTTATTCATACCAAAGAAATACACAACTCATTTCTTGCTTTCTATTCGAACGGATCCGACTTTGAATCAAATCGAATCAACGATTTGATTGTTCCTATATTGTTGTGTTCACAAACAGAATAATCGAAGTTACCTTAATGACGTTGGATAATGTTTAACATATCTGAAAAATCTCATCTGTAAAATTAGCTTCACAGTCTTGCCTCCTTCTTTACTGATTATGAATTTTATTGCTAGAATGGAAAAGAGCAATTCGGATGAAATTCTATTGAAGTCGGTTTAAGTTGAATGCATCTGTTATACAAATGCAGTCTATTAAAATTTACATGATTGATCTAGAACAAATCATCTTAATTTCTTCACGGTTGATACAAACCACTGGCTGTTAAAATTCATTAGTCATCAATTTTACTTGAAAGCTCAAAAAGTTAGACAAATTTCTAAGGAAATTTAACAACCAAAAACCTTTTGAATGCAATTAAAATTCACGAACAATCATAAAGCGATCCTCTTCATTAGCAAGACTTGGATCGAGTAAAATTGTTTTAAATTCGAGATGACTTTCATTGTGAATGTAAAGCTTGCCAAAACCAAACGTTGCATATCGCACTTGTGACCATTCAGGTTTCGGGAACCATGTTTCATTAATGAGAGCACCGGCCATACCGATGGTCAAATGAATAGGACTTGTTTGATTGGCTGCTGTTGCATTATGCTTATATACTTTCCCATCAGGTGAAAAGTGTTCTCGATCTGTAACATTGTTGAATTTCACTGGTGTTGTTCGCTCGTAACAATGCATATGACCCCAAACAGCAAGATCGACCCCATATTCAACCACTAAAGGCTCGAGTTCTTCTTGCAATTGACCAGCATTTGCTCCTTGGTCTGATGTATACATGGGTCGATGGCCAACAACAATTAACCACGGTCGCTGTTTGAATTGCCATTTTTGTCGATATTGTTCTAGTACATTCTCAAGAAACAATCGTTGTGAAGAACCCGCTGTGTAGTCATGTTCGGTTGATATGAATATCCATTGAACCAAATTTGTTTCCAATGTAAAATAGAAATTTCCACCATCTTCTAGAGGATTCGGATCTGTTTTCGAAGGCATAAAAAATCGCGCTTGATAACTCGTATAGTTGAAGTATTTCTCGTGGTTGCCAGTCGCGGTCATATACGGTATTTGACTAGCGATGGGAGCAATTTGATTCATGAACAAATCCCAAATGGGTTGAATTTCGATTTCAGCTCCTGTTCCACCATAAGCAATATCTCCAACGTGTACAACATAGTCGGATTGTTCATTTGTATTGTTGATGAAATCACCGACTATCGCTTTCATCACTTCAATTCCCATTGGCATGAACGTGCCCATATCTCCATAAATATAGACAATCTCTCTTTGTCGTTCTTCCCAAAGTGGCATTGTTTTAAATGTCCACATACCATTCGAAAATATGTATGGAATCGTCTTATTGTCCGATTTTATGAAACCAAGTTGATAGCTATACTTTGTTCCCGGTTGAAGGTTATCGATTAAGATGTAATGAATCCAATGATGCCAACCGTTGACATTATACGTTGTTGTGTCACCAATAGCGATGTATCCCTGATCACCATACTTGATCATGGGTCGAAGATTTGAGGTTGGTCGCTCTCGTGTAACGAATGAAATAAACATTTGATTGTGAACATTGTGTGTATACGATAAATGAACTTGCTCTGGATCAAGTCCGTGATACACAACGTCAAGTACTTGATTTTGCAAACCATATAATTCGTAGAATGTGCGTTGCAAATCATCCATAATAAGATAGTTACGTGTCGAATTTCTATTGTGTCTTTTAATTAAATTGTCAAGCATTGCTATTGTTGTTGGAGACATAGGCGAAGTAGGCGAAGCGAGAGTTTCGAACTTTTCTTCGTAAAAACGCTCGAAAAAAAGACCAAGTTCATAACTTGTCGCTTTTCCATCACGATTAAGATCAATCAAATCAAAATAAATCTTTAAATCATGAGCACCATCAGTCGAGATAACGAATAGAAGACTTAAAACAATCAACGAAAACATTAGCTCCAGTATGTGTCTAATGCATACATAACAATCACAAATTATTGCTTGCTTTAGTGAGAATAGAAGCACCTGCTTCATTCATGTTGGTTTTGTTAACAAAAATTCAGCTATTTTCTATCAATATTGACAGTCGTACATCCCGTGAATTTGGCGATTAAGAGAGAGAGAGAGAGAGAGTATAGGTGATGGTGTGATTGAAGCAAAGACCCTTATCAAGACACCTGCACACCCTCAAGGAAAGCACTCCTCAACAAGTTTGAGAATGTTGTGCTCGTATCTATTGTATTTAATCATTTCTCTACAAGAAACAAAATGAATGTATGTAATTAATAGAAGATTCAAAGAATGAAATTGCATGGAAAAGTAAAATTCCAATATTCAGTCCATTTGCTTTACTTCTTTTCAGTATTTTCTTTTCTTTCTTGCCGATCTACTTGATCCAAATAATTGGGGTCTCACGACAATGTCAAACAGCTCAGATGCCCCCATAACTATGAGCTTATCACTGATATAAACTGAGTTACAAAAAGGCTGTTGATTGTGACTGTGAATTGAAGCTTTCTATTCACAAACACCCTCATTTCCACAATCACTCCTCATTCACACATTCTAACTTCTTTCATTTTGTTGAGTACGTTCGAGAAAAATTTCAATCGTTTTATTGTTTATGTCTACAAGTAAAGTATTTCTACTAAAAGATTATATAAAATATGAATTTTTAAATGAATAATTCTGTTGTTCTGATAATTCAGTTCATAAGTTGCTTGAGAACACCATCAGGTGTCACGCGTTTATCACGACCCATATCCATTAAGAAATCAACCAACCAAGCAGGGCACATGGAAAGTGGAAAAAAAACAAGACTTGATTGCCAACCAGGTCGATAACGAATATTTGGACGTGTATTCATGACAGCATGCCGAAGTGCTTCTATTACTTTACTTGGATTTTCAGCCATTTTCATAATTGTATTGTTTTCTAAGTTCTTGACTTGATGTTGGAAAAATTCTTCGCCCCATCGTTCTTTGACGTCATTGGAAAGATTTGCCCATAAATTATGTGCTGCACGATCATGTCCTTCGACAATTGGTGTTCGCATAGCACCAGGCTCGATTATACTCACTCGTAAACCCCATACAGTCATTTCCCGACGAAGACAATCCGAGAACGATTCAAGAGCATATTTTGAAGCACTATATGCAGCTGAACTCGGTCCAACTAAGAAGCCAGCAATTGATGAAACGTTCACCACACGTGAATCTCGTTTGGCAATGAGTAAGGGTAAAAACTTTTTTGTCATGGCTACATGTCCAAAAAAATTCACATCCATCAATTTGCGCATTGTATTCATTGTAATCCAATCGATGGGACCATTTTCACTGATGCCGGCATTGTTAACTAGAGCATGAAGTACATTTGTTTTTTCTTGAACCATCTGGTAAACTGAATCAATTTGATCTTGACGAGTTATATCAAGACAAAAGACCGTTGCTCGTGATGAGAGACAATTGACGAGTGAATCTCGACTTTTCTCACTGAAGACACCGGCCAATACATTGAAACCTCGTTGATCTAGTTCAATAGCTAGAGCATTACCAAAGCCACTATCGCAACCAGTTATAAGAACATATTTTCCTTGAGTATTGATGTCGGATGATGGAAAAAAATACTTATAAACTTGATAAACAACATAGAAGAGAAATATCAAAGTAACCAAACAAAACATATTGATAAATATAATAAAGCACGTCACTAACCAGTTGGACGAGGTGCTCTTTTTTCTTATCGATTGCTTCAAATTGATCGTGCACAAATAAAAAATTAGACGATATCTACAATGCAAAATATGAGAAACAAAATATTACATCGAGTATTTTCATGTTCATTTGTTCAAATTCGAATACCAATCGAATCAAGGATCACAGAGTAGGTGCTTCGTGTGAAAGATTAAAAAAAGCACTTTACTTCCATCTTTTCTTCAGCTTCTATTGGCTACATTTGAGATTAAAAGGCATCAATCCTCTTGGTATGTCAGTCGTTGCTTCTTCTTTGTAACCAAGGCTCTAGTACAAACACGCGTAAGCTTTCGCAGAATAATCGAGTAAGATAAAATATAATTATTATGAATGGCAGAAACTATTCTAGTAATACACAAACGCAAAGAATCAAAATACGATAGACTTTTCAAGGTGATGTACCGAGTGTACGTATATGTAATGCGACGCAGTAATCGTTTCTTATATCTAGGTACTAATGTGTTTTTTTTGCGTTCTTTTCTCCTATTAATCATAAATAGTCAACGCTTGTGAGAAGCAGAAATTTATTATTCGTTTTTCTTTTCCATTTCTCTGTGGTAAAGAATATTATTCTAACACTGATTACGACTAGTCTCAGACGTGTACTCGATTGCTAGTCAAACAGAAAAAAAAAAACAATTCTGTGATCACACAGTTGGATGCTTATTAATTGTTATTTTCAAGTGATAGTCATAGAAACATCCAAAGTTATTTAGGTAATAGAACGTATTTCTTGATAAAGATATTCATTATCAACTACATGAAAGGACGTAAAATGAAGGTCTCACCATACAAGTCTGCTTCCCAACATCATAGTCTTTTTCAAATTATCGATATTAATAAGCTATTATACAGAATATCAACAAAATTTATTCTCTTTTAATGATAAGAAATAGAACACGCTTTTAGCATGTCTAAAATCGTTTGATATTGGTCTGAACCAATAAAACGTTAATAGATGAGCTTCATCGAATCGATTGATAATCTATCGAAAGCGTCATTCAAATGACATAGTAAAATTTCAGCATTTACGTGTCAACTAATTCAGAAGCTGACAAAAATATTTATTATCAGCGATGTCGCCACTTGTTGTTTGCGTCACATTGGACAGAGTTGACATATACTTCATAGATTTTCAGTTTCTTGTCTTGCTTGACAAATGACGAAACTTTTCTCTCTGATTTTATTGGTTTGGTCTTGATCAGATGTATCAAATACATGAATTGATCGAAGAAAATACTTCTATCATTAAAGTCAAACTCGGAGAAAAACTTATTATGATTTTGAGAAATAAATTCTTAGTTAGTGTTTGATAGGAAGAGAGAGACATTCTCAATTGTGATCTTTCGAACAGAATGGTTGATAAAATGAATTTTAAAGTCATAGTTACAACGTCTTTGTTATAGTCTTTTTTTATTTCAAATAAATTAATTAGCTTGAGAGTCATTTTATGAACTTTTTTTTGTTAGAAATTAATGATTACCTTAAGACTAGATGATTCATGGATTGGCGAGCTCCGAAAATAATTTTATTTCCAGTGAAGTTCGGTTTTTTTATCATTTTTTCTACTTTGTTTTTCTTAAATTTCTCATCAGCTCCACATATTTTACGTTTATGTCAGTATTTGGACTGATAGAGAGATTTTCTGTTGATTCTGTGATTTTGGTTCGAGAATGTGAATTGCGCAGTCTGATTGTTCAAAATAAGCTTCAAGCTAGTAAAATAAATATTCAATATATGATTACAACATTATTAAACCATCAAAGTAAGAAAAGAGCAAATTTTCACTTGGATTTCTGCATATCTGTATGGTTCTCAATGCAAAACAATATTTGAAACACATTGTATCATACAAACACTAATAATTTACACAACCAATTCAAATAACTTTGTTTTGCCTCTTTTCCGATAATAACAGAAATTTGCACTGAATTGAACACTGAATAAGTTATAGCACAATAAATTCATCATATGAGAACCTTGCGAATATTTTTCAGACGATCACATGAGAAACAAAAACGTTTGAGAAGAGATGATAAATACACTTCGATTTGTTGTAAAGTCGTTTTCACAAATCGATTTTGATTCTTATTCGAAATATTTTCCAAGCATCGAGTAGTTTGAAAAAAATTTTCAGAAAATAAAATGAACATGCTTCTTTGTTACATTATCGATTCACAATGTGATCGATAGAAATCCCATTTTTAAACACATTCTCCGACTTGGACAAGCACTGCATCGTTGCTTTGTATGAATTTTTGCTTAGCTCTATTAGTCCATTGATGAAAAAATATATGGGCATAAACACTAAATAATAGAAGAGAAAAAACAATATATTCAATCGATTGATTGAATTAAATATTGGATTTCAACAATATTTATTGTTTTAGTAATGTCTTAAATACTAGATTATTCTTGGATAGTCAACATAGAATATTATTGTTAAATACATTTATTTTTCATTAAGTTAATATGGAGCTTGTTGTTTAAGTGTTACCCGGACTTGCAGACACTTTTTTTTCAGAAAAGTATGTTAAGAAAAGTTAATGAGAGACTTTCCTGTCATTGTTTTTTAGTCATACGATCGAAACAAAGCATTGACATTGAATGAATAATGATTCATTCACCAGTTTTATGTGTTATGTTACCGGTAAAAAAAAAAGCAGGAACTGAAAAAACAATTGAGTAAAATGTTCATAAGAATTATCAAAAAGAAAGCTCAGAAAAAACTTGAAGATAAAAATACTAAGAATGCGTACACTTTAACATTGTTCAGATTTTATTTTCATTGTCAAATGAGTGTGAAGATTTATTTTTATAAATAGAATCTCTTTTTACAGGGTGTTTTTTTTTCTCTTCTATTGTTACTGCGATCAATCGAGTCGTATGCTTTAAGAAAATAAGTCGAAGAATACAGAACATAAAATTTCTCCAAGTCTCCCGTAAAAAGAAAATTGTTGTGAGAGTTATTTTCTTGTCGTCTAATTCTTTTCCCCGACTTACAAAAAGTTTGCACGACTATCTATACGAGCACTTTATGCACTACGCATTTGAAAATTTAAATTGATAAAACACTTATTATGGCTGAACAATATCGAATTTCTCTTCTGACATTGCCTGCTGAACTTCTTTATCGAATATGCGACTTTCTCGATTCAGAAACATTACTTCTTTCATTTCGCAATGTTTGCATAAAACTCTATATGATTGCAAATACATACAATCGATATAAAATATGCTTACGTTCTATATCAAAGATAAATATTTGTCGACTTATTCGATCTGAAAATATTGTCTCATTGGATTTTGGGACTAGAAATAACGCAATAGATTGGATCGAATTATTTCTACCAATGTTTAAGACACATAAATTCACTCGACTTCATTCATTATCTCTTCATACGAGCAACATCAACGACCTAAATACCATCTTACATCATGTTGCTATGAATTGTATGTTAACATCATTTGCTATCTACTCGGATATATCAAAAGATAGCGATGATACATTACAACTTCTTTCTTTAATTATCGCACAACCTACTCTTGAAAATATTATTCTGTATTCTAATCTTACCGATAAAAATAAACTATCATGGCCCGCTCAGTCAACGGTCAAGAAGCTGTCAATGGATAATTGCAACCTCCAACAGTTCTGTTGTATTCTCCAAAATTCACCTGGTCTTCATTCTTTGATTATGGATAGTTGTCATGTAAATGGGATAGATGAAACCCTCTTATTGAATTCATATCAACAAGTAACATCGTTGACATTGAATAATATGCAAATGACGATGGATAAACTTGAATTACTACTTTCGTTACTACCATCTATTAATCATCTCGATCTAGCTAGTTCAGGTAGACCATTCGAATTTGTTCGACGATTGTCTAAATGGGAAGAATTTATTCGATCAAAATTACCAAGACTTTATCAATTTGAATTCTGTATCTTTTGTTATTGCTCAAATTGGGAGAACTTTGATTTATTCATAGCCTCATTTCGAACACCATTTTGGCTTGAAGAGAAACGTTGGTTTGTGACATGTCAATTTCGTGATGATTGGACAACAAGCTTTACGCTGTTTACAACACCTGAGTCTTCAACATTATCTCATCAAAAAGAGCATTACTTTGATAAGATAACTTGTTCTAATTCAATTACAAGTGAACATGATCAAAGGGAAATCAACTGTATCGAGAATATTCACTTCGATTAGCAGATTAATGAAACGATCGGCAGTACCAATGATATCGTTTTTAATCAGAATATTCAAAAATAATTTTTTTTTTGCCACATAAAATGTAATATCACTTTAGATCATTAGGTTTTGGGTGACAAATGAAAACCCTTATACGATTCGATCGACTAGTAATCCGGCTTATCCAAACGTAACGTTGTTATGTTTTTTGACACATTTTTTTTATTATTATCTTGGAAGCTGTGCGAGCTAGAAAGTTCATTCAAACGCCATTCAATACAGCTCATCATACTCTATTTATGCAATAGAAAGGAAATTTTTTAGTTGAAGTCTCGAGCATCTAGAAAGACTTTATTGTTGCGTAGCGTTGTTACATAAAGAGATCCTAAATTTGGAGTGCTCGTGTTTGATTTGTAATTCCCTGTGACAGTGAGTCTCCACGTGAAATGCTCTCAGAGCGAATTTCGTAGAGCATCGAACGAGCTTTTTAAAGGTAAAAAAAGTTTTCCTACAACTATTTTTACTCGTGTAATAAAAGCAAATAACAAACGTAACTCTGTTAAACCGTTTTGTTTCCTTAGATTATTGTGTACTTTTTATTCGGTGTAGATCCGTCTGAATCGGTTGTTGTAACTTCTAAAGACACGCTTCTACGACTCTTATCATCATAGATCGCATCAGCACCTACAGAAATCTCTGAGAGGCTTAAAATTTTCTACTGCAGTAACCATATTTCTGTTATAAATTTAAAATATGTACAAGAGCTCTTAGTCATTAGACTTTAAGTGCATGGTATTTGAAACATCAGTTTTTCTCGAGCTGGGTATTTTTTCTCGTGTTCCTACCCATGTAAAACAAGATTAACAAAAGAACGGATAGGAATGCGTTTTTGAAATAAAAAAATGCGTTGTTAAGACGCTTTTGTCATTATTTTGGAACGCGTTTTGATTATCAAAAACGCGTTNGTCCTGGACTTTGTCAAAAATGTCTTATTCCTGTGTAAAAATTCTACTAAAACTGTTATAACTCTTCAATAGTATTTTATGGGCCGAAGTCGTTTGAAGCTTTTTTTGTTAGTCTTATCAAGATCTAGTAATAGTCTGAAATGCAGAGCCGAATGGCGTCCGACAATCAGATATGTTTCGTCGTAAGTTATTTGCTAACAGCGAGTGTTTTGGTATATTGGACTCCGTGTCAATTTATGCAATTTTCTAGATTTCTATGAAAAATAGACTTGCAAAGTGAACTTGAGTATTCCTGAATAGTTGTTCTGAAACTCTAAGTTTTTATATCACTTTCTAGAGAACAATTTTGCATTTTAATTTTTGTTGTAATAAATGTCAATCTTCTTCGTCCAAAATTAATTTTCGCGCTCTTGAAAAATCAATTCAGAATTTCTACAAAAGTTTTGAAGCTTTACTCGGAAAGAACACAAAATTCTGATTCTAACTCAATCTGCACGCACTTTAAAAGGACTAGAAAATGAATCAACATGTTGTCCAATTACTTTTCAATCACTCGTTAGAATAGTTCAAGAGTATCTACACTGAAATAAACTATTGATAATTGAATCAGATTTTTGACTATTAGTAAATTCAATATGTATAATTAAGTAAAGTGACTTTTGAACTATATTGTTAAATCAATTACATCTTAAGTCCTAGTAATCATATCATCTAGCAAGGTTATACTTTCGAATCTCGTAGATGGTATATTTAACATGAAATCCGTTTACGTCTAGTAGAGGGGACAATGCTGATCATTTTCTATTAGACAGTACGGTCAAACATAGGGATGAACGTGCAAGTATTAAGGTTAAGACCTATGAATGGATTCGGAATCTATACTAATGACTGCTTTTGGTTATTATTTATATCTTATGCTCATAGAGGCTAGCCGTATTAATATACCGATCATCACCGTAGGTTTTTTATGTGCCCATCGACGCCACCGATGTATCTCTAGTCAAAAGTCTTTATTTCGCGGATATTGAGAACAATGTGAGAGTTATAACTCGTTTTGAAAAAGTCATGCATTAGTTTGGTTAGAATAATTATCGATATCTTTTTTATTTTTACTTTATTAAAACATTTTTCATCTGTTTAGTTAATCATTGTGTTCAATCTCGTCATATTATTCTTCATTGGAAGAATTGCACTACCCCAAATTGTTCTATCTGTGGTTCATTAAAAAAGCCATCAGCACTTCGACCACAAAATTCCATACGTAAGTTTATTGTTCTCCATTTTTGTTTCTCACATACCAAAAAAAAAAATAATAATAATAATTTTTTGTTTTTAATATCTAGCGAAAGAATGGCAACAACAATTACAACCAGATCATCGAAATCATTTAGTTAAAAAAATTGTTGCAGCATTATTAAATACTGTTCAACAAGATGGTCGTTCATTACCACCGGATCGTTTAGCTGCAGTGACATCATATGCTCAACAAACAGAAGCTGAAACATTTAATACAGCTATAAGTCATGAAGATTATTTTCATCGTTTAGCTGAACGTATTTATAAAATTCAAAAAGATTATGAAGAAAAACAAATGTCGAAAAAACAACAAATTTTAACAACAACATTAACATCAATTGATAAATCAGCTGGTGAACAAGGTCCACCGAATCGTATTGCACCACAATCAGATTATCCTCCAACATATTTACCATCATCATCATCAACAACAACAACAACAACAACACAAATTAAATCAGAAAATCAAACACCTAATCCAATCCAATCAGTACCTTTTGATACGCATCGTACTTCAACTGAAAGTCTTAATCGAATGACTGTTCATAGCAATAATCCAAATATGAATTCACATGTTGATACAAATGGAACTCAAATAGATATAAAACATATTAAAACAGAACAAATATCACCAAATCAAGATACGAAAATTCAAGTAAATAAAAAAACATTTTTGCTAACTTAACAAATGAGAATAAGATAAATATACAAACATAAATTAGTTTTATATATTTCAAGAACACGGATGTTCTTCTAGGAATTAGATGGAATTGTCCGTGACTTATTTCTCTCTAAACTTTTGGAATTGAAAGTATTTTTCAATCAGAAAAAAATAGCTCTTCAAGTAATTTATTGTATCCAATAGTTGGTTATAGGAATTTAATACTTACGAGTACTTGTTCAGTAACTAAATGCTTGGCTTTAGAAGGATTCTGTCGTTTTCAGTGTTTTTTAGGAACAACTTGACGAAAAACTATGAAATTTTCAAGGCATTTAGATCTCGATAAATAGAGCAAAAATTTTCATAGATTCAAAATTCCCCGATACTTTCTTCAGAGAGATATGAGAGTCGCAAAGGCCAAAAATGCCAAGAAGTTTCCCCACCATATGTGTCTAAATCCAGATCATCAGGAGGTTAATCCATGAAAGTATTTATGGTCTCAGAAAAATTTTTCTTTCTTCTCTACTGATAAGCAGGTGATACAATGAATAGATTACCAGTTCCAAAGCGTTAGTTTCAATAGGTATGTTGAAAGAAAATGACATCGGTGGGATTTGAAATTGGAAATTTTACACTCAATAACCCCTATGAAGTTGAATCTGTAGTATAATTTCATAGTTAAAATAGTATGAAATTTCTTTTCCGTCTTTAGACAATGACAATTATAAAAAAAGAAGAAACAATAACAACAAGTGAAACATCAATGAATGGAAATAATGTAACAACTACAACTGTAGAATTAATAAAAACAGAAAAAATTGATATTGAATCAACGAAATCAAATAGATCGCCACCAATAGATTCAACAAGTAAATCATTAGCAAAATGTCCAGCAGTTTTTTCACCTGAAGATATTCGAGAAAAAATGGCACCTATACTTCGTCATATGTTTGGTCAAGAAGAAGGTGGTTGGTTTCGTCAACCAGTTACAGAAACTATTGCACCTGGATATTTTGATATAATCAAATATCCAATGGATTTTTCAACAATATTTAAAAAATTAGATGAAAATCAATATGCAACACCATTTCAACTTTGTGAAGATATTTGGCTTGTTTTTAATAATGCATGGACATTTAATAAAAGATCACAAAGAGTTTATAAAGCAGGTCTTAAAGTAAGTTTATCTCATAAAAAAAAAAAAGTAAAAATAAAATCTTGAAATTATATTTGTTTTAGCTTTCTGATATGTTTATGGAATTAGTTGATCCTATTATGAAAGAATATGGTTATTGTTGTGGACGTCAATATGTATTTTTACCATCAGCTATGTTTTGTTATGGTGTTTCTGGTATGTGTTGTACAATTCCACGTGATGCTGATTATTTTGTTTATAATAATCCGGATTCATCAAGAAATAATTTATCCGGTGATAAATATACATTTTGTAAGAAATGTTTTGATTCAGTTAAATCTGAATATATAGTAGTTGGTGATGATCCAGCACAAACATTAGTTGAATTACCTAAAATTGAATTTCATCAAGCTAAAAATGATCATCAAGAACAGGAACCTATGACCGATTGTATTGTTTGTTCAAGACGTTTTCATAATATATGTGTTCTTTATCATGAACATATATGGCCTGAAGGTTATGTTTGTAAAACATGTGTTAATCAATATAATATTAAACGAAAAGAAAATCGTTATTTAGCACATAAATTAACAATGACTGATTTAGCTAATGCTTTAGAAAAACGTGTTAATGAATTTCTTAAAAAAGATTGTGATTCAGATACAGGTCGTGTTACAATTCGAGTTTTAGCTGCAAATGATCGAATATGTGAAGTTAAACCAAGATTAAAAAAACATTTTGGTTCACAAGTACCAGATGGATATCCATATAGAACAAAAGCTATATTTGCATTTCAAGAAATTGATGGTGTTGATGTCGTTCTTTTTGGTATGCATGTACAAGAATATGATAGTCGATGTCCAGCACCTAATACAAGGTAAGAATTCAATTTTCTTTAAAAATTAACATCTGTAAGATTCAATATCATGCCAGAATGAGAACAATATCGAGTGTGAACAATTAAAAGTGACATTATTTAGACTTCAGGAACATCAGAAAAACTGATTTTCGAATTTCGACTTGAATTTGTGCGAAGACATAGATCTTAACAAGAATAATTTATTGTAAATTTTTCAGACCTTGTCGTTGATCCTACCCTAAGATACAACTGCGGGAATAGCATGATTTGTTTTTTATATACCGATAGACTTGATGTTTTGTTCTTATTTTCGAAAATCAGTTTTTCTATTACCATGACATTCTTTTAAATAATCCTATAAAAGTGCAATATGTTCGTAGCAATAAGCTAAGAGTGCGAACTCTTTTCAAGGTATCCATAGCTTATTTGGATCTACATAATACAGAGTCTCGACTCAAAAACGATTTACCATTCAGAAGATATGTCCTGTAAGAAAAGCTCGTAGTATCAAATACCGATAATCGCAAAAAAGTGTATAACTATTGTCGGATTATTTTTTGAATAGATTTCGATTTTTTTATGGGTGTCGAAATCAACTTTTCTCCAGTAGATAGGGTAATGTTGGAAACACCTATTCGTACCATTTTTCGTAGCAACCTAAGCTCACATTATACAAAAATGTAGTCCAAAGAGAGTCGTATTTCCCATCAAATTCCTAGATTTTAGAACATTACATTTTAGCGTAACATGAACATTTGATATAAATAAAATAAAGAGTAACAAATGCTATGAAGAGATAAATCTTGTTAGTCCTTCGTTTTTCTTCTTCATTGATGATTTCTTTTATTTTATTTTTAGACGTGTCTACATATCTTATCTTGATTCAGTACATTATTTTCGACCAAAACAAAAACGAACAGCACTTTATTTTGAAATTCTTATTGGTTATCTTGAATATGTTAAACAATTAGGATTTTCTTATGCACATATTTGGGCATGTCCACCAAGTGAAGGTGATGATTATATATTTCATTGTCATCCTGTTGAACAACGTGTACCTAAACCAAAACGTTTACAAGAATGGTATAAAACAATGTTAGATATAGCTGTTAATCAACGAGTTGTTGTTGATTATAAAGTTTGTTTCTTTTTTTTGTTTACATGTTATGTATTTTCTTAATTGTTGTTTATATTTAGGACGTAATGAAAGATTGCAATGATAGTGGTGTGAATAAAGCAACTGATATTCCATATTTTGAAGGAGATTTTTGGTCAAGTACAATTGAAGATTTACTTAAAGAACTTGATACAGAAGAAGAAGATAGAAGAAAATTTGAAGAACTTGAAGCTGTTAAAGCATCTGAAGATAGTTGTTTTGATGATCCTATTGAACCTGAAGAACCAACAGAAGTAAATTTAATTTTTTTTTTTTTTTGTTCTATTTACATGAATTTTTTTGTTTTGTGTATTTAATTATTAGATTTCTGAGAAACGTAAATCAGGTGGTGGAACAACACATAAAAAGAAAAATTTCAAAAAAACAGCAGGTCAACGTCGAATAGCACGAAAAAATATGTCAAATGGTACAGATCTAATATCAAAAATTTATGCTATGATGGAAAAACATAAAGAAGTAAAAATAAAATATTTTCTTTTTTTGTTTCTTTGATAATAATAATAATTTATTTTTATTTTCTAGTCATTCTTTGTTGTTCGTCTACGTAATCCAATGTCAAATCCAGCAACATTAACCGATACAGATCCATTAATACAATGTGATTTAATGGAATCTCGTGATGCATTTTTAAGTTTTGCTCGTGATAAACATTGTGAATTTTCTTCATTACGTCGTGCAAAATATTCTACAATGGCTTCATTAATTGAATTACATTCATCAACAGCCGATAAAATATCCTATACATGTAATTCATGTCGACAGTTATGTGATATACGATATCATTGTACTGTATGTGATGATTATGATTTATGTAGTAAATGTTATGCAACAGTTAAACATGAACATCGTATGGAACGTACAGACGATACAAGTGAAACACCAACTAGTTCAGATACACCATTAAATATTCAACAACAAAGACAAATAACTATGCAAAGAATGTTAGATGCTATACGTCATGCTGTACAATGTCGTAATGCAAATTGTATATTTAAAAATTGTGCACCATGTCAAAGATTACTTCAACATGCTAAAGAATGTACTAAAGCATCAAGAAATCAATGTCCACTTTGTAATAAACTTTTATCACCAATATGGTTTCATGCTAAAACATGTACTGATCAAAACTGTCCAGTATGTATAAAATTGTTTTTGTTTCTTTTTTTTTTTTATTCGAATTTTATTTAGTTACCTTATTGTACAAGTTTTAAACATAAACTTCAACGACAACGTGCAGCAACTATGCAAGCCGATCGACGACGTATAACAGCTATGCATCGAGCAAAAATGGCACCAGGTAATTGTAATATACAATCATAGTAGAGAAGTAGAATACAAAGAAAATTATAAAATACTGTCTACTAAAGTTTGGATTGTGTCTTTTTTTAATCAAACATTTGATTAGTTTTTGATATTTTAACATACAACTAGAGCCCTATCTAAGGTCAGTCAGTATTAGAGGTTTACAATTCTAGAAAGAGTTGATGAACTACAATCAAATCAATAGCGTAGATTGCTGAAATTAATGATGCATCATAATTTTCTTTGTTATGTCATCAATCGAGGTGTGGGTGGAGTGAAGAATTTTGTTTAATATTGTATTATAATGACATGTTTATTATGTTCTTTTTAGGTCCATCACCACTTGGTCAACAAAGTACAGAATCAACACCTACACAGTATCATCCCTCGATGGAATCAGCTTCACCAAGTTCATCAGGTAAAATGATGCCATCAGGTGGTAAAGGTGGTAAGCCTGCATCAATGAGTGGATTAGTACGTGCTAATTTATCTTCACAACCACCATCTTCACAACATCCAGCATATTATAATGGTGGTAAAGGTAATCCAGCAGCTGGTGGATATCCAATGATGATAACACATCATCAACAACAATCACAACAATGGATAACACCACAACAACAACAACATCGATATGCAACACATGTAGCCGGCGGAGGAAAACCAATGGTATATGCACAACAACAACGAATGCCATATGGTGGAGATCCATACATGATGAGACAACAGACTCCACAAGTGCCATCATCTTCTTATCCATATACATCAAATATTGGTAAATTAATGAAATTAGAAATGATTTAAAGTGAAAATTTTCTATTTCTTTTTTTAGCTCCACCAGGATATTCACATAGTCAGCCAATGGACCCCAATGCATTGGCTGCAGCACGTGCTGGTAAACCAATGTTACCACAACAACAACAACAACAGCAGCAACAACAGCAACAGCAACAAATTCAGCAACAACAGCAACAAATCCAACAACAACAACAACAAATCCAACAACAACAACAAATCCAACAACAACAACAACAAATCCAACAACAACAACAAATCCAACAACAACAACAAATCCAACAACAACAGCAAATCCAACAACAACAACAAGTACCTACTCGATATTCTCTTAATTCATATTATCCTCATCCTTCACCAATGTCATATCAACAGCAATCACCGATACCACAACCACCACATCGATCTCTTTCACAAGGTCCAACTCCTACTTATTCAATGCCATCAACACCAGTACCGTCAAACGGTGCCGGTGGTAAACCAACTCTAATTGATTCAATCGAATCAAAACCTGAAGATATGATAGATGATCCATCAAAACAACAACAACAACAACAACAACAAATGTTTCATTCTCTTCTTCAAAATCGTTCACGTCCACAAACACCCTCATTCTATCCTAATATGCCACCAACGAATGCTCCGTACTATCCTCCACAACGTTCAATGACACCAACACCTGAGTATAATATGGCAGCAGCAGCAGCAGCACGTGGTATTCGACCGACAACTGCTAATCCTTATGGAACTCTACCAATTCAACGAGTTCGAGCTCCACTTCCTTCACAATTATCATCTTCAATAAGTGATCCTACAACGAGTATGAATACTAATTCAATGGGACTTCAATCTACTCCACCTCCACCATCTGTAACTCCTCGTTGAAAACCAATACTGTCTTCTTTATTTCTATTTATTATCTTCATGTATGTCTCTTTTTCTCTCATTTGTTGTTTGTTTATTTTTTGGCCGACTGATTTTATTCTTCACTTAAATTATCGGCGAAGAAATCTTTTCTCTCTCTCTTTTTTACACACACTGATCTATACATACATACATATATATCTCAAAAAAATATATCGAAAACATCTCATTCATTTGATTGCTTTTTTTTTCTTTCGAGTGTATATGTAAATATTTGTTTTTGCTCCAATACGAATAATATGCGCATTGTTCAGCTATGTAGTTTTTGTTTTTTACATTGCTAGTGTACATTTTTTTTGTGTCTGTTTGCTGTGGAACAAAAACAACGGAGTTTCTTTTTCTCATATTTTTTCATAACAAATATTGCTGTTGTTGCTGGCTTCGTGCATTACGTTCTTTTCGTTGTTGTATTGCGTCGAGTATCTTTTTTTCTTACTTCTTCTTGATTTCCACAAGGAGAATGAGTCAGTTTATGTATATGTATCTTGTTTTTGTTTTCTTTTCTATTTGTCTGTCTTTCTTCCAGACAATACATGCTTTTTTTTTCGCTTCTTTATATATGCCCGAGCGCGCGCTACTGCCGTCAAACACTTTTTTTTCTATTTGTACTAATAATAAAGTGAAATGGTCAAATGAAAAACGAATATTGATAAATTTTAAACTCATATCAATTGTAACAAATATTTGCATTCGATGAATTTGTTTATTGGTAGAAATTATTGTCAAAGATTTTTCAACAAGTCTTTGAATAGGACAGAAATAAAAGGTATATAATTAAATAATAATTAGAAAGCAAATCATCTTGTTTATATTATAATATATAGAATCCGGTTTTTCTTTAGAATTCTTCAAGTATAACTAGAGTGAATTCAAGTTGTTCAATTATTTATTTCAGAACTATAAATTGATCGTACTAACAATATGAGTGAATGGTGGCCTATTGTTTTCGTATCGTTCTGATCATACTTTGTTGCCAGTTTTTGTGATTTGTCTAAAGTTCTCACACGTGGAAGTTTTTCCCATTTTAATCTATTTATAAGCGGCTTAGAATAACTTCTATTTTTGCTTAACAAGTGCTTATAAGAGCACATTTAAAGTCACTTAAAAGTACTTCGAACATATCTAAGTGTTAATCACCGATTAAAGTATAGTGAAAGCTCGTGTAAGTATGACTAAATTTAAGTGCTTTGCAGTCGCCTAAATTCCATGTAGTTGAGTAGCACTTGAATTTTGCGATATATAAGTGCTTATAAGTTGCTGTTCTATAGATAAGTTCTAAGTGACTGATAAGGAGTTAAAATTTGACCTTTTCAGTTACCACAAGCGACTTACAAGAGCTTTCACTACTACTTCAATCGGTGATTAACGCTTAAATATGTTCGAAGTACTTTTAAGTGACTTTAAATATGCTCTTATAAGCGCTTTTTAAGCGAAACCATAAGTTATTCTAAGCTAGTTTTTTCGCTTACGTTTTCACATGGGAAGTGAGAATATAATAAACTAAACTATTACGGTCTGTGAGAAGAAGGGGATGGGTTCTAATTTTCACTTCTGCGCTTCAACATTCCTTTTAGATCGTGTTTCACAACAAGAATCTATTCAATATTATCAAAATATTATATAATGGCTATCGAAGAAGTTTATGAGCAGTCAAAAACATAGATCTCGATAGTTAATCAACAATCTCATTAACTAGGAGTCAAGAAACATTAATAGAAGAGATTTTTTGCAAAATATACACATACGTAAGTCGTTCAAAAAGTATCCGGACTGATTTTATTACAAAACAATAGAAAGAGCTGCTCTGCGTGTCTTATTGTTTGTGTGTAGCTTATACACTCCTCTATCCATAGATACCGTAAACTCTTTTGAATGATGCGTAGATGTGAAAATATGGAAATACCTTTGGGACCACTGTTTACATACTGACAGAAAAAGCGAAATTTCGGATACCAACCAATGATCAGATTTTTTGCTCAATAAGACTATCGCTCATGTAATAATCACGAAAATACAGTGGTCGATTACAACGATCAATTCGCTGTTCCCTAGTAGAATTTCGGAATAGAACCGTTATATAATAGATAGATTATCCCAAACGCATGGTATTTCAAAATGTAAATCACATAAACATAAAATTTTTTAGAATTTTAGTGATCAAAAGTAGTCAAATTGTCTCTGAGTAAATAGCAGACATCCTTCTGATTTCAAATATCCACTTTACAACATTTTGCCTCATCAATTATGTAGGGGTGGACCAGTTAATTTAACGCGAGTTAATTAACGCCGTTAATTAACTAAAATCGTTAACCGTTAATATTAACGGTTAACGGTTTCCCTAGAAAAGTTAATTCGTTAATA